TACGTCGTACGTCGTACGTCGTACGTCGTACGTCGTACGTCGTACGTTGTCCGCCGTACGCAAAATTTGTCCATCGATTATCTCACCCCCCAGAAAAGTTATTTGAAATCTGACTTCACGGGATGATTGGGGGTCCCGAGGAATAGAAATCATTAGCTTTTGAGCGACTTTGGTCGATGGAAAAAAATTTCATGCCTGTAGTGATACCTATGAAAAAGAGTCCAATTTTCGTCGAAAAGTCATACTTAATGTAGACTTAAACACTCAAAAATATGTATTGGGGGGTTTTTTGGCACGAGAAAACCGAATCCGATGTTTATTTTGAGATACAATTAAGTTTTAACAGAGTTTCTTTGAAAAAATCGCGAAAAATTTAATTTTTGTATGGGAGCCATGCCTGTATGCTACCTTAATGACGTAAAAATTTGCACAGACTATTTTTCACACAAAAAAATAACATTCTGAAAGTTTGAAGAGATTTCAATCAAAATTAGGGGTACCTCTCATACAAAATTTTCAATTTTTGGATCAAAAACGAATATTTTGTATGGGAGGTGCTCTTACTTTTGCTTAAAATTTCTCCAAACCCTCCGAATGTTATTTTTTTGTGAGAAAAATAGCCTGTGCAAAGTTTCACACCATTAAGGTAGCATACAGACATGACTCCCATATAAAAATCCAAATTTTTTGTGACTTTAGTTATGAAAAGTGTTTCAAAAATAATTTTCATGGCAAAATTAACGTCAGACATATTTTTTATAGTGTTTTGTTAGAAATAGAATACTTTCAAATGTCGTACAAATGGGTTCATCATGAAAGTGTGAAAAATCTTTTCTCGAGTACTTCTGCTATTAAATCAAAGAATATTTCGTTGCCAAAGTTGGAACATATTTTTTGGTCTCGGACTTTACGCCGCTTGAAAGGCTTGAAAAATCGAACAAATATTATTTTGAACTTTCTTAATAAAATACACAACTACCACAGTGCGGAAAAGTTCGTCTTACTCCCGTAAGACTCTTTATTTCTGCTTACATTTGTTTAGTCTTGATCTTTTGAAAATAAAGTGTGTCACAGACGAAGAAGAAGAAAAAAAGACAGAAATTTCACAGTAAATTACGTATTCTAAACGGTATACAAATAAAACAATGAATCCAGCAGCATCAAACATAAATCCGACGAAAAATTGGATTTGCCATTTGCTCTTTCGCTCGTTGCTTGCGAACACAAGAGACACATTATTCACTGGTACCAAAACAAAATTGTAAATAGGTATGCCCAAAACACAACCGGAAATAATGTTGAAATGAACAATCCAATGAAAACGGCTCGTTCAGCATTATCTTAATGGAATCACAAAAATAGATATATGTAATGCACTTTGACGTTGGTTTTGTTCGCCTTTAAGTAATGGCAGACACACTATAAATTTATTGACAAACAATGTTGAAGCACTCGTTAGTTTGTTACCTTCAATGGGATTTTACGGTGTCGTCGATGCTTGAAAACCATCCGGATAGCAAAACAAATATAACGAAAAAAGAAAATGTTTTTTCACTTACCGACAACCGTAAGATACACAAGAAGTATCAAAGGTGGATGACTACTGATCTGTAATGTTTGGTAAAAGAAAAAAATTATAAGTGATTTATAATTTTCATTGATGCATAACTTAAAGTAAATGACAAACCTGGCATTCATAATGTCCTTCGTCTCGTTCGTTTGCGAACTGTATCATAAGTTGCCAGTCATTCGGTGCAACATATTCAAGAGAGTATCTCGAATCACTGCTGTACGTGTGACGCCCAAAAGTTATCAAATTGAGTTCATCGCCTTTTCTTCGTACCCATGATACCTGTGACACAAACAGAAAGAGAGAGCAAAAATGAAAAACATAAGCAAATTTCATAGTATGCTTTTGTAACAACTGAAAAATAATAATAATCATAACAATAATACGGTCTCATACAGTTTTCACACAACACTTTTTTTGCTCTTCTCAACGCAAAATATTTTCGACGAAAAAACTATGAAAACTTTTCATCCCCCTAAATATGAAACAAGAGAAATTTACATTGCATACTTAAAGTGGGCAGAAGGAGAGAAAGAGAGTGACCAAGTGAAAAAAAAGTTGTTATAAAACGTTTTTCAAAGTGACATCGATGGTGCATGTAATTGTATGTGAATGCTGTAGTAATTTTGTCGTTCAACAATTTTTTTTACATAAAATTCGTTTAAAGAGCATTTTTTTCTCCAACACATATTTACGTTGTGTGGCAGTCTTTTAACGTTGTAACATTGTGAAATGGTACTAATTATTCGTAATAATTGAAACTTCAGAAAAATACAACATCAATGTTTGCCTTCATTTCTCAGCAGTGGGCAATATTTTTTGAGAATATTTGATTTAAATATTTTTCTGCACAGTTCTGTGGAAATTTTTGAGCAAATATGAACGGTATTTTCTTGAAAAAAGCGCAAAATATGATTTCATAATCATTTTTCTCACATATTTTTATCGATTCATGTGTGGATTTGAATGTAAACTTAATATGATATGTCACTCAATCAAGTAAATGTAATAACTTTTTTTTGATTGGTTGAAACTATATTGTAAATAATTGAACACTATTGGTATGACACTTAATAAATATGTAAAAAAAAAATCGGCAATATGATATATCTTCGCATATCAAATACCATTTATTTTACAGCGAAATTAAGAGCATGATAAGATCGGCTGTTCTGCATTCGACATATGTCAGACTAAGTTGTTTGCTGCGCGATTGACGTTCATTAAATTCAGTTCGTTTATCGAATTTCAATGAAATTTGAAGCTGGTACTGGTGACTCTTAAATTGTGCGACGCAAAAATAAGCAATTTGATATGGTCTTTGAGAGTCGTTCACATCTGCCGAGAGCAGCCGAGAGACTTCAAATTAGCATATTTTTAATTAAGCCGCTTCGATCTTATTAAACGAATTCCCGGTTGACATATCAAAATGCGAGTATCCACCACGTAAAAGACGTGTATCATCATGAAGCGGAATTGAGAATACACATATTCACAACGGCTGGCCTTCTTCCTATTTCAATACTCGTAAATAATTTCGATGGCGATGGTTCATTACATTCTTTTAAATGAAAGAAAAACCGAAATCCCGAAGCAAATTAAAAATTCCATTTTTTTTTTTTTGAAAAATTAAATTTGGCTCATATTTCGGTAGAACCATACGAGAAATTCTGTTGAGCTTCGTCCAGTATATGTTTTTTTTTTCAGAGGCTTAACTTTGTTTGTTTAATCACATACCATGTCTGATTAGTTTTTCGATCGCTTAAGCCGCGGCATAAGACTTTACACTTTCCAATTTGAATATCGTTGAACGCACGTTTTTTAATGTGTGAAAGTCGAATGTTGATGTGAAATTCTGTGTCGTTTGACCAAAATGCCATAGGGACACTTCGAATCAATGACGCAACATTTCTTCCACAAAAACGAGACTCTCTCTTGGTCGGTCATTGTCAATGCTTAATGCTTTATATATATGCATCGAAAGTGCCAAGAAAAATCTGTTCAACTTGAATTAGTTGGATATATCTCTCGGCACATTAGTATCACTGACTTTGGATGAACACAACCGGTATCACATTGCCGTATGAGTTTTCAACGTTCCGAAAGTCGGATGGCCCAACGAATAGAAGTGGCGAAAAAGAAATAGATGAATATAAAAAACAGCGATTGGTATCATTTAATAAAGCTGCCTTTATTGCTTGTCACTCAAGAATGAAAAATGAATGTGATATAGAAAACCAGTGTGAAAATGAGTCTCACTCTCACCGTTTAGATATGGGCATTTCAGTTTTGTAGGTGATGGCATTCAGTTTACCATTTCTTTCTCCCATATTATAACATATCATGGAAATTGCACCGTAAACTCAATGCTCAACACATAAAATTCAAATACGAAAAAGCGAAAAACATTACAACGATCCAAAATGAATAAACGAAAATCGAAGTGCCATTGAATCGACCATTAGACCATATAAAATGGACATAGTGTTTGTTCGTGCGACCCAAGAACATTCGAGTCAACAAGAGAACAACCATTTTAAATATATAATATAAATAAATTGCATAAGAAAATGTAGATTTGTCAATTCTCACTTGCTCCATCTGTTATTGCATTTGTTTATTGTCGTATCGAATGCCTTGATGCTATGCTATTTTCAATACATTTCAAGTATTCCTACATTTGTGTGCATTGTCCCATTGATCGTTCGAGATGAGCGTCTTCTTGATGCGAGCACAAAATTTTTTTTATATTCTCTATCAATGCCGATGGAGACGGATTTTGCGATTCATTTTGTCGACCACATTTTTCTATTTCCATCGATTGCATTTTTTTTTCTCTATTTAAGCTGCTTTCCGAACATCATCATTCAAGTGTGACAAGTGCTATTTCGTTTTCTTTGTCTCTGTTAACTAACGAAAAAAAAGCTGATTCAAAGAACACAATTTATTCGATTTCTTCGTATGTTTGGCTTGATGTCTTCTAAACGTGTTATGTTATTAAGGGACACCAAAATAAAACGATCTCGTATTTTGTCTACGAAAATAAAGAAAAATCACAGCCAAATACAATAACACCAATACCAAACATTCTGCAAGTGAAATCGCATTTACTATAAACACACTCACACCCACGCAAAAACTATACAATGATTTCATTCGGCTGCCAATTCTTTTTCTCAATTGCATCGACATCGATCTGCATATTTGTTCACATCCATACCTTTAGCTCTGGCAAAATGAGCGAAAAAAAACGACGGAAAATCCGTATGACGAAATAAGAAAATGAAAGAATGAAACGAATAAAAACCATTTCAATATGTTTTGGCTTTTTTACGCGCATTCGTGTACTGTGTTTTTTATGTGAATTTTGCGTTGCATGTTTTTGTGTGCTCTTCTCTGATTTTTACAGCACGATACGATATTTTCCTCAGGTTTTATATTATATTTTTTCAATATTTACATATTTATATTTGTGTTATTGACTCAATATACGAATAAAAGTAAACGCGAAAAGGTGAACATTGGAATTGTGACCAATAAACGGTTTGATACCATTTTGTGAGTAAAATTGCACGTCGACACTCGTTTACTCTTTCTCTCCTCTTTTGTGCAAATACATATAGAAAAAAATCCACCTCTAAATTGGGAATGGAAACAAACGTGTTCAGAAGCATTGATTGCGTTGCTGTGAACACTTCATCACATGAAAGAGAGAGAGAAAAAAAGCCAAATATGTCTATATTGTCAGAAAATAAATACGAACGAGAAAGACTGGGATGAAGGAATAAAATCTTCAATCGCGTGCATTTTTTTCAGTCATTTTCCGCTTGGATTGAATGTTTCTTCTGTAAAATTGTTTACACTCTTTTTACCATTTTACTGCAGTCTATCTCTCTCCATTCACCACCCAACCACCGACGAATCCCTAGATTCAATCCAATTGATATCGACGTCATTTGTTATAAAATCACCTTTTGGGTCATTAAATGTTGACGTTTGTATTGCAGTGTGCGCGCAACTCAAATCGCTACAAGCATATCATTCGACCGGTTTATTTGTGTCAGACCTCACAATAGATTAAAAGCAAGCAAGATTTATTATAACAATCGCATTCTTGTTTTGTGCATCAGATTTCGCTTTTTGTACTCCTTTAATTCACATCCCCAACAATTTACCATGTTCACATACCATGTAAAACTTTTCTTTTGTTAACCATTTTTTTCTCTCTCTCTCTCTCTCTCTCTCTCTCTCTATCTGTTTTTTCGTCTTTATGATGCAGACGTAATACGAAACCTTTGAGGGAGTCGGAAAATGGAGAAGAAAACTTGCCATGCTTTTTATTGTTGTGTATTGCATTTGCTTTGATACACATTTTTTTCGTTTATCTATAAAATAGAGACGTGTTTTTATTGTTATATGCAGACTATAGTCGAGAAAAAAATTGTTATGAAATATAACAACAATGCCATCGAAATGGATGGGAATTGTTATTTTGCAACTGCAAACATTAAACAGTAAATAAAATGCTAAATACACGTACACAGATACATTTTCAAAGCAAATTTTTCAATATATTTACACATAACCAATAAACCAATGGCGCTGTGACAGTACCGTTGATTGTAAACCATTTTATGTGTGTGAGGGAGTGCTCAGTGCTGCATTTAAAGACTTTGAGGTTTGAGCGGTGATGTGTGTTGTTCGAGTGCTTTGATTTGAAAGAAATTCATTTCTAGTTGTGCTTCTAGTCGATGAGCATACATGTTTTCAATTGAACTTGTTTTAATTTCTTTTTTTTCTTTGTCGTTTCATTATTGAGAAACCAAGCACGAATGTATTTCTATCATTTCTAATAAAATAGTTGGGCTTTTGAGAGCGATTTTATCGAAGTAATGACTCATTTTGAATTGTCGACAAAAGAGAGAATTCAATTGAGTCTTCTTCAGCATTTCAATTTTCCAAAAAGCTGGAAGAAGCTAGCACGGCAATTTCTCATAGAGTAAATAAAAAAGAAGAAAAAGACCGAAAGAGCGAGGTAAGAGAGATATAATAAAAATATATATCTAGATATATATATAGTAGTTTTGTGTGACTTAGGTTGTGTAGCATCGTACGCAGAATATATAGCCGATGTGCAGCTGTTTGATAAACGATAAAATTTATTGGACGTGATTTCACCCCAAAGTTGCAGCGATTTTGTGTTCATCTCGCTTTTGCGTCATTTCATATTTTTCCACACATTGAATTTCGCTCAAAATAAAACTGTTGGCGCATCACAGGGA